AAGAAAAATTAAATCGCGTTAAAATAGTTGAAAAGGAGAAACAAAGTTTTGAGGCAGTATGTTAGTAAATCGTGTTTTTATCATAATTATGATTCGAATCTTATTGAATTGAAAGGCCAAGAAAAAAAGAAGCAGAAAATTATCTCCGAGACGAAAACACGTTAACTTTGAAACTCAAAAAAATTTGCTAGAATTTAAGATTAATACTGAAATATCAACTAAGGCTTTGGTAAGTCATTAGATTTAATAACTTATTCAGACAAGGTATTAATATGGCAATTAATTTTATTTATTAATTCTTAGAATAAATTAAAAAAAAAAAAAGTATGTTCAGATAACAACGATCTTGAAGATAAATACAGAGATTCCGTAATGCCTTTTTCAAGTAAGATAAATTATAATAATTCAAAAAAAAATTAGCTTTCATTAATTTTTTTTATTTTAATAAGCAATTTGAAAAAGGAACAAATGAAATTCTAGCTGAATTGACAAATTATGAGAAAGGCGATATTAACCTGGAATAGAGAAAGAAGCGCATTTTGTTATAGGATCGTCATAGAGTTTCGGAAGCGAAAACAGCATTACGATATAATGAACAGGATTTGAATGATCGAATGGAAGAAATTATGGGCTTGGAAAGATCTTAGAGACTCAAGAAAGTGAACTTGGGAAAGCTTAAAGGGTATGTGAATCTATTATTTTAATCTAATTGTGTAGATACCTTGTTTTATATTTTAACTAGATTTAAACTTAAATAAAGGCAAGTCAAAAATTTATTCAAACCAAATTGAAGAAAAGCAAAGAGAACTTACACCTTGGTTAGAGAAAATCAATGCAAGGCAATCACTTTTTGATCTAACAATCTGAGTATAATATTTTAAAAGAGTAAGTTGATTCAATAAAAGGTATTATGATTAGGCACCAATTGTTTTTTTGTGATCATTTAATTATAACTGAATTGCTCATTTAGGAACAAGAAATCTCATCTACAAGAATAAAATCAAAGATATGAAACTAGAAATTCAACAATTGAAAGATTATTATTTAACATTTAGATTAAGTATTTTAAGATTCTCAAATATTTTTTTATTTTTAGCATTATCTTAGTCATCAAGAACATTTCATGTCTAATCTTGACAAAGAGAAGATGAGGCGAAAAGACTTAAATTCGTCTCAGTATAGAGGACAAATTCTTAACAGCTTGATAAAGCAAAAAAAAATAGTGGTCGTATAAAAGGATAATATGTAAGTTCGTCGGAGCGGAGCGTTCGTTGATTTGTTTTGCCGAAAATCTTATTTTAATTTTTTTAATTAGGATCGTTTGGGTAACCTTTGGTGTCTTTGATGATAAAAACGATGTTGCGATTTCAAGTGCCTGTTCTGCATTGTAGTTGATTCTATTGAAGTTGGACAAACTTGTATAGAATACCTTAAAAGAAGCGATTTAGGTTGCGCCAAGTTCATACTTTTGAATGAACTGCCTACCATGGACGTGCGCCCTATACAAACACCTGAAAATGTTTCCCGCCTTTTTGATCTTATTAAGCCGAAAGATGACAGGTTTATCCCAAATTAGAATTTGAACTATTGAAGTTAGAGATGGATGTGAATGCTTGCGCAAAACGTATTATATATACTGAAAAAAGAGTAGCCGAGTTACGGTTAGTATTTAACTGTATTTTACTAATAAATTCTTGTTAAGGGTTAATAAGTAATCTTTTTTTTTTTTGATTTTTTTCCTATAAGACAAAAAAAATAATCCGAATGTAGATGATATCAGATGTATAGGACAACTTCGAACATCTAACACGAGAGTTAGATCAATTGAAAGACAACCTTTTAAAATCAAAGAGAGATTAAGATAAGATTTTGGAATTTGGGGTGATTAACTTCGAGCTCAAAAGTCAAATAGATCATGTTAAAGATCAACTTGTTTTGAATAAATGAGCGAATTATCAAGTCACAAGTGGCGAAATCAAGAGCGGAAAAAGATGGGATTAATCGAAACTTCTCAAGCAAAAAGCGAAATAGAATTAGAAGAATTAAATAACTAGATAGAAAAGCTTACAAAAGAAATTCAACAGAAAGCCAAAGTTGCTCTTTCCATTCATATTAAAGCCAATGAAACCAAATAAGTATTGAATCAGACTATATATGATATTTTGTTTTTTAATATATAGATATAAATACTTATTACATTTTTCCTGATTATTTAATATTAGAATAGATGAGATCAAGGAAAAACTTGATGAAACAAACCGAAATAATTAATTTGATTCGAGCAATTAAGGTTTATATTTATATTTATTATTTACGTCGAAATTTTTTATTTATAACCAATCACACTTTGTATTGTATTAGTTAAAAATCAAAAATCAGCTCGAAAGATGATGAGCGCAATTTTGTAGAAAATAAACAGAAAGAAATTCATTGGTACTGATATTTGGGCTCAACTTTTCAACTGTTGGTTGTGAAAGTTTGACGGACATTCAATATAAGCGACGAGATTAATAATGATAGTGTTTTGATGAGAACTTGTATATATATGCATTTGCATTATCTTGACTTTTTAATTTTTGTATGATCCTTTCAATTTTGTTAGTTCAACTTCTACCGAACTTTATACCGATTTAAGTGATTTTATTATTTATAAAAATGATGATAGAATAGGAAAATAAAAGTTTATGAACTTAAAATTATTTTGATAATAAACACTTGGTCTAGTCTGGAACGCGTGTAAGGTTGATTTTGATTTATTTTTTTTTGACTAGATAGAATTTTTGTACTCTCTCTTTAGTGATTTGTAATTTTGTTGAATTTTACTCTACTTCTAATAAAGATTGTGCAAAGCCACCGCACGTTAAAAAAAAAAAAAAATAATAATAAACACTTGGTCTAGAGATAAAATTCTGCCAAATTATTCTTCAACTAGAGGGAGGTACAAAATATTTAATATAAAATCTTCAGTAAATGCTAATTTTTCATATAGTCGTGCTTATTTTACCGTTTTTATACTTCATATTTTGGCTCAACCTGATATTAAGGATACAGAATGATTGTATCCAACTAAATTTGCAACATAGTGAAAATAAACACAAGTATTAAAAATAAACTAAAAAAAAAAAAAAAAATACGAAAGAATTATTTAAATGTTATACTTTAGTCCTCAATACGAGATGCCGAACTTGTCGATTTGTTGATTCCATTTTATTGTTTAAAATTTGGATTATACGGGTTTTTTTTTTTTTTTTTTTTTAATTTTTTGGTGCGTAAAATTTTGAAAAACAGAAAATTTTTATTTAAGTGGTACAAAAAAATATATTAATTTTTTTTTTTTGTGGTATTGTAAGTTTTTATTTGAATTATAATAGAAGCTATAAAAATGACGGAAAATATTAAGCCATATTTGTACGTTATGCTAAACCAAAAATTGAATTTCTTGGTTAGCGTAATTATTATAGCTTCTTTTAT